GAAGCTTACTATTTCCTGGAGAGGGATCTAAGTCAACGATGACAACAGCAACAATCGAAATAATAACAGCATGGAATAAGAGCATGTCCAGTACTGTTCAAAGCATTCTACAGATATCAACCTATAGTCTATCCATTAATCCTACAAAGTAGGCATTATTAATAAACCCATTTTTTAGATAAAGGAACTGGGGTTCAGGGAGTTTAAGTTACTTTTCCAAGGTTACAGGGCAGGTGGAGGGGTCTAGATTCAAAGCTGTGCAGTCTGGCTCCAGAGTCCACGTGCCTCACAACTTATCTACTCCCCACAACAACCTCCATCCTAAAGATGAAGAAACTGAAGTGCAGTGCGATTACATACCTTGTCCAAATCAGAAGCTGGTACATGGTGGTGTTAGAATCTGAACATAGGCATCCTGCTCCAAAGCCTACACTCTTAACCATTACGCTTTACCACCTCTGCTGAAATGGCCTAACTCCAGAATCCTTTTCAGTTCAGTACATCTATGGTTCTCTTCCCATCTATGGATTATATCAAGTAAGGCTCATACTTGATCAGTATATATTGGTGTCCTAGAAAATGTTTTAGATGCAAAGTACATGTTCTTAAGTTTGATAAGGTAAATCATCAATTTCAAAAGTTTCAATTTTTAAAGAAAATCTATTTTCTGTAAAATTAGTAAGGAAACAGGAGAAGGAAAGTGGATAGCCACTCAAAACTTCTGCAGTGTTTTAAGGTCACTCATGCACTTCTTCAGGTAAAATCCTTATCATATAATAAGGTTTACAGCACATTTTATAAAATTGGAAACTCCATATCATAGAAACTCCAGTTATGGCTGGCTACAATTGCATGGTGTTAAACCAGTGAAAGTTAATATATTAGTGCAATATGCTCAATAGTGCAATAATTGGAAAAAGCTAAGAGTTATTCCATTTTGGTAGAGAAAGGAAAATGAAGATTTCAGGAACAAGTTTATGTGCTGGTTTCTTTACTTTTCAGTCTCGTGGTGAAGTTACCTATGGGCCTGTTTCCTAGAATACCAACAGGCTTCCTCTGACTGGCCAGAAAAAGGATTTGCAACAAAAATGTCATCATGTCCACGTGTGTGGTGCTTCCAGCTCAGGGAAGCTAAGAAGCTCCTGTGTTCTGACAAACTAGACAAGGTAAAGGCATGCTCATTTCTAAGAGACCAGTAAACTACATCCAGCTACTGCATGGCCTCACATGCTTGATGATGACGAATACCTACCCTTGTAGAGTGCAGATAAATTAGCGCACTGATTGCTCTCAGCGTTAACTTTCTCTGACATGCAGCATTCTAGCTTTCTGAAGAGCTTTCTGGTTGATTCAGTGCATTTCTTTTTTTTTTTGTTTTGAGACGGAGTCTTGCTCTGTTGCTCGGGCTGGGGTGCAGTGGTGTGATCTCGGCTCACTGCAAGCTCCACCTCCCGGGTTCACGCCATTCTCCTGCCTCAGCCTCCCGAGTAGCTGGGACTACAGGCGCCCACCACCAGGCCCGGCTAATTTTTTTGTATTTTTAGTAGAGACAGGGTTTTCACTGTGTTAGCCAGGATGGCCTCGATCTCTTGACCTCGTGATCCACCCGCCTCGGCCTCCCAAAGTGCTGGGATTACAGGTGTGAGCCACCACGCCCGGCCGATCCAGTGCATTTCAACCTCATTCATGCCCTCAGGATAAAGCCATCTGGACAGTTTCCCACCTCACAGTGCATTGCCCCTTTCCACAACTTACCTCTCCATCCTTCTTGGTTGTGTTCAACAGTTAAGAGGTCTACACATGTCCTCATCATTTTAAGCAGTTTAACACCAAGACAAAGACATTTCAGGGAGAACTGACTCCAAAGGGAGTGAGATCACTGATAAGCATGGGCAGTGAATCCAGGGTGCAAGGCCACCAATACGTGTGAACGTATTAATCATAATTGTTACTTTTTCTAAGAAAAGGATTTCCTTAGTCAAACCTCAAGGGCATCAGATCAAAGGGAGATACTGCCACAGCTGGACTATACTTTCCAGCCAATTGGCCTGAAAAGGAGAATCGAGACAGTGTCCTGGCAACTGTTGAACGCAGCAGCAATCCATGAAAACGGAGGGAAAAGAATTTTTAGAATGACTTCTAAAAAAGGTCTTCCTTTACTTTGCTCCTCCCTATTTTTAGGGATAGTTTGAGGGTAACATCAAAGCCCCAGGGGATGCATCTGAGGTGCTGACTGTGAGAGCTCATTCTTCTACAGATAGAAACAAAAGGAGGGTTTAGTTCACAGCACAGTTTTTTTTTAAACATCATTAATTAATCATCATAAAAAGTATATGTCAAACTTAGGCCAATGGGCAAAGTACTTGTTCAATTTTCTATTGCCAGTTTCATATAAAGTTACTATAAACCTTGCCAGGACACTGTAAAATCACCCTAGAAAGGGTAATAAATAAAATCAGAACTGGAGAAATTTAGTTACATGTCCTAGAAGTTCTCCCAAAAATGTATGAAAAGCAATTATAGAAGTGACTATTAACACACAACGAGAAAAAAAAAAAAAAGCCACAAAATCCAAACCCCACTATGTCAGAAGCACAGCAATACACACAAAAATCACGTGAAAATGAAAAAACAGAAAGCACACCAGGATTTCATGAATTACAGAGAAATGAGATGTGAGAGTTACTGTGTAAAAAGAAAAATGAAAACAAACAAAAACCATTTCTGTAGTCAAGGAAAGCTGTTTCTCACCGTTCTGAACAAAATGGCTGAACTAAGAGCCTCTGATTGGCTATGCCCATATACCCTCCTCCTCATCCTACAGGGAGAGAGATGACAAGGGGCAATGCCCCAGAGCAGCATGGAATGAAAAAGAGGTGGTTAGTATTTAAAACAAAGACGTAAGCATAACGTCGCAGAAGATAATTTCTTGACTCTCTTAAACAGATTCTAATTCCCTAAACTATCAAAATTAGTAGTTACTGTCGGTCCTCTGTATCTGCGGGTTCCACATCTGTGGATTCAACCAACCGTGGACGAAATATATACATATACATACATATATATAAAAATCAATAAAAATAACAATGCATTAATACATAAATTTTTAAAAATATAGTATAACAACTATTTACACAGTATTTACATTGTATTAGGTTATAAGTAATCTAGAGATGATTAAAAGTATATGGGAGGGTCTGGGCGCGGTGGCTCATACCTGTAATCCCAGCACTTTGGGAGGCCAAGGCGGGCAGATCACCTGAGGTCAGGAGTTCAAGACCAGCCTGGCCAACATGGTGAAACCCTGTCTCTACTAAAATACAGAAATTAGCCGGGCGTGGTGGCAGGTGCCTGTAATCCCAGCTACTCAGAAGGCTGAGGCAGGAGAATCACTTGAACCCAGGAGGCAGAGGTTGCAGTGAGCTGAGATCATGCCACTGCACTCCAGCCTGGGCAACAGAGCAAGACTCCGTCTCAAAAACAAAACAAAACAAAACAAAACAAAACTAAACAAAACAAAAGTATACGGGAGGATGTGTATAGCTTATATGCAAATACCATGCCATTTTATATAAGGGACTTGAGCAACCAAGGATTTTGGTATTTGTGAGTGGGTTTGTCCTGAAACCAACCCCCCGAGGATACTGAGGAACAACTGTAGTTTGTCTTTATACTTCTATTCTTCCTACTTTCCAAGATGCCATCTCTATCTCAGGGCTGGATCTGGGCAAAATTATCAAGTTGGAGGTTTTTCCTTATGTTTTGCTTTTCCTTCAACCTTTCTCTGTTTCCCTCTTCCTACTCCAGACATCCGGTTCTCTATATTATCAAAAACCTGTTTTCATGAGGAATCAAACATGCATCTTATATCCCCTGGCATAGATTCAGTTCCAGGTATCAGGGAGCAGGCAGAAAAGGTAAAATGATCTCTTGGCAGGGAAAGACTGCTGACACCAGGCAGACAGCTCTCCATTCTGCCCACATTACATATTCATACTGTTTTCCTTCTAAAATACAAGGCTTGCCTCAACTGGCTTAGTAAATGTCATCATAATAGGACGGACTATACCTTCTGAATCTTAGAAGCAACAGCAATTTGAATACCATTGCTGCTTTCATCTGCACTCTCTCTGCTGCTTCTGCTAAGACAATGTCATAGCTATTATTTAGTAGAGATGTTTAGCAGGAAAGTTTTCCTTGATGCTTTAGTCATATGTATGTAATTACTTGACTATTTTTTTTCCCCTTAGCTGTATATTTTAAGGCTGGGTGTGATAGAGATGTTAAAATTTGATTTTTGGCAATGGGATATGAGGTAATCTGTTCAGCACTCTCTGCTATCCATCATTTTCAAGATTTGAGGAGAGTTCCCTTTTTCCAAGAAACTAGAAATTGAACATGATTCCCTTCAGATTCATCAATGTCTCTTTTGCATTGATGAGAAGTTGAAGGCCACAATTTTCCTTAAGCATGACATGCTGGAGGGATCCACAAGGACAGGGAGTGAAGAACTAAGTTTCAATCTTCACTTTTAATAGGTAATGAGCAGAGAGTTCATAATTTGCAATTAAACAGAAATAACCTAAAAACTGTGCCTCACTAGGCTTGCAAGAAAAGAGTCTTGTTTTTCTAATAAGGAACTAGTTCTTTAAAAGGAAAATCAAGACAGTTAAAAATTAGTAAAGACAGTTAAAAATTACATATTATTAGTACGTATCTCTGAGAAAGTTAATTTTTTTTTCCAACCCAATTCAAAGATTCTTTATTGTTCAAATCTTTCAAGTATCTGCTCTTAAAATATTTAGAATCACCAACTTCCTATAAAGAAACTGAATCTGTGATTTTTTTGAAAAGAATATTCTTTTTATTTATTATTATTTATTATTCTATTTATTTTTCTTCTTCTAACTTGTATCTTAGAATTTGCAACATGCCAGTACAAAACATCTCAAAATTTAAGTGTGTGGGTTTTTTAATAAAACACTGCAGAGCCATCTTACCTGGTCTGGGGAGGGCTTGTGATTTGTCTGATTGGAATGGGAGGATTTGAAGTGGTCATCCTCGTAGTTGTCGGCCATTAGCTTCATTCGATTTTGCGTCTAGGAAGAAATTATTCATAAGGTTAAATTTGAGTAAAGTTTCTATTACACACTGTAAAGTAATGAGTATTTTAAGAGTTTCACAAGAAAGGATAAAACTAATCCTGTCTGCAATAAAATAAACTAAATATAGGATTTCTGAGGATACTGGAAAGAGTTTAGGCACTACTATGGGCTGAATTGTGCCCCCGCAAAATTCACATGTAGAACTCCTAAACCCCAATGTCACCATACCCAGAAACAGAGTCTTCAGGAAGTAATTAAGGTTAAATGAGGGCATAAGGGTGGGGCCTTAATCTGATAGGACTGGGCTTTGTAAGAAGAGGAAGAGAAAAAGAGAGGGATTTCTCTTTATTTCTCTGCCATATGAGGATCCAGTAACTAGGCAGCCTCTGCGAGCCAGGAGGAGCCTTCACTAGGAACTGCACCAAACACTACCTTGATTTCGGACTTCCCAGTCACCAAACTGTGAGAAAATAAATTTCTGTTTGATTAAGCTACCCAGTTCATGGCATTCTATTACAGCAGCTTGGGCTAAGACTGGCAGTTCCATTGATACAGAAATTTTGGGGGACGAGGAGGCAATATCCCCAAAACTAGCATTTCATGAATTCTCTCTCTTTTTTTTAAAAAAAAGGGTTTCACTATATTGCCCAGGCTTGTCTCAAGCTCCTGGCCTCAAGCTGGCCTCAGCTTCCCGAGCAGCTCAGGTACATGCCACCATGCTTGACTAATTTTAAAATTTTCTTTGGTAGAGACACATTCTCACTAAAAAATCAATTGAACAACTATTACAATTTACTACAGAGTTCAGTGAGGTATTTAGACAGCAGCGCACTCTCTCTCATATATATACATATATACACACACACACACACACACAGATAGCTTTTCTTTATACCATCAATAAACAATTCGGGTCTTAAAAATAGGTAAAAAGAAAAAAAAAATTGGTAAAAAGTTCTGAAATCCTTCTCCTCAACCCTAAGCCAGAAGACGACTATGATCCCATTGTCTTTTCTCTGTCTTTACCAAAAACGAAGACTGGATTAGTGGTTCTGTGTGGGTGGTTAATTTAGGCCTTGAATAAATGAATAATATATTGAACATTTTAGGAAATTAACTCTGCAGAGTAAGCAGCTTAGAAAATGCCAGGGTACATGATGCATAAAATCAAGCAGCAATATGTTACACTAGTAAAATACTGTTAAAACTTGAAGTTTTAAAGCATTAAAAATAAACTTGCTAATATTGTATGATTTAAAAATGCTTACTATAGATAATTTGGGTTTTCTTTGTTATATTTTAGAAAGAGTCTCATTCTGTCACCCAGGCTCTATAGTACAGTGGCATAATCACTGCTCACTACAACCTCAGACTCCTGGGCTCAAGTGATCCTCCCAACTCAGCTTCCTGAGTAGCTGGGACTACAGGTATGCACCACCACACCCAGCTAAGTAGAGACAGGGTCTCACTATGTTGTCTAGGCTGGTCTTGAACTTCTGGCATTATATAAAATTAAAAAAATAAAGTACAAACAAAAAAGAGAAATGAAAGAAAAATCATCTATAATTCCTCTATCAGTGATTATCACTCAAGTGTATTCATTTAGTCTCCTCCCTGTGAACATAAAAAGTGGCATGCTCTTCTGATTTATTCTATTTCTTCTCTATTTTTTTTTTTTGAGATGGAGTCTCGCTCTGTCGCCCAGTGGCACTATCTCAGCTCACTGCAAGCTCCGCCTCCTGGGTTCACACCATTCTCCTGCCTCAGCCTCCCGAGTAGCTGGGACTACAGGCGCCGCCACCACGCCCAGCTAATTTTTTCGTATTTTTAGTAGAGACGGGGTTTCACCGTGTTAGCCAGGATGGTCTCGATCTCCTGACCTCATGATCCGCCGGCCTCAGCCTCCCGAAGTGCTGGGATTATAGGCATGAGCCACCGCGCCCGGCCTTTCTTCTATTTCAGCTACACTGTGATATTTTAAAAATTACTATATCTTACAGCATATTTTCCTACCTGATAGAATATGTTCACCAATTCTACTGCGTCAAAATTTGATTGGTTATTTTTAACACATTTTCTTTTCTAGATGAATTAAAAATAGTTTGTCTAGTTTCATAAAAAAATTCACAGAGATATGTAATGATGTCTAAGCGAGGGCTTTAGAAGAGCCAAATTGCCTGAGTTTAAATTCTAGCTCTGTCTCTCACCAGTTGACTGCAGGCAAACTACGTAAATGCTGTGAGCCTCAGTTTCCTCACCTTTAAAATAGGGATAACAATAGTTTCTCCTACAAAAGACTGTTGCGAGTATTAACCTGTTGAATTAACACAAGGAAAACACTTAAAAAGGTGCCTGGCATAAAACTGACACCCAGTACATTTTAGCTATCATCATAGTCGAGACCATTTTTTCATGTCATTAAATAGTATTTTAAAATATTGCTTTAAAAAATTACATATATATGTATATGTATGTGTATGTGTATATATTTATTTTTTGGTTTTAGAAAGTTTATGTATTTTTTTAGAAACTGTAGAAATGGGGTCTCACTATGTTGCCTGGGCTGGTCTTAAACTCCTGGCCTTAAGTGATCCTCCTGTCCTGGCCTCTCCAAGAGTTGGGATTACAGGCATGACCACTGTGACCAGCCTAAAATCTACTTTTAACTGGTTGCACAGCATTCAGCTGAATGGATATTCATTTATTTAGTTATTTTTTTTTGAGATGGAGTCTTGCTCTGTCACCTGGACTGGAGTGCAATGGTGCGATCTCAGTTCACTGTAATCTTCGCCTCCTGGGTTCAAGTGATTCTCCTGCCTCAGCCTCCCAAGTATAGCTGGGATTACGGGCGGCTGCCACCAAGCCTGGCTAATTTTTGTATTTTTAATAGAGATGGGTTTCACCATGTTGGCCTGGCTGGTCTCGAGCTCCTGACCTCATATAATCTGCCTGCCTCTGCCTCCCAAAGTGCTGGGATTACAGGCGTGAGTAACTGCGCCCAGTCCCCTGAATGGATTTTTAGTGAGTCCCATATTGTTGAAGATTTAGGTTCTTTACATTTTCACGTAATAATGTAAGCACATTTTAAAGTCAGTTCCTCCCTCTAGTATATAACGACAGAAAAAAAAAACCTATTAATAAATCATCTGTGAATCAAATTTCTCTTTTCTGGGAGGACCCCCAGTGACCTTTGCTATGGTCTGAATGTTTGTGTTCCCCCCCCAATTTATTTTATTTTAATTAATTTATTGTTTTTTTGAGCCGGAGTCTCGTTCTCTTGCCCAGGCAAGATCTCGGCTCGCTGCAACTTCTGCCTCCCGGGCTCAAGCAGTTCTCTTGCCTTAGCCTCCCAAGTAGCTAGGATTAGAGGAACACACCACCACGGTGGCTAATTGTTTTTGTATTTTTAGTAGAAATGGGTTTTGCTATGTTGGCCTGGCTAGTCTCAAACTCCTGACCTCAAGTGATCAGCCCGCCTCAGCCTCCCAAAGTGCTGGGTTTACAGGCATGAACCACTGCGCTCGGCTTCCCCCAAATTTAGATGTTGAAACCACCTTCAATTTGGTGGTATTATGAAATGGGGCCTTTTGGAGATGATTAGGTCCGAGGGTGGAACCCTCATGAATGAGATTAGTACCTTTATAAAAAAGGCCTGAGGGTATCATGCAATATACCTAGGTAACAAACCTGTATATGTATCCCCAGAATCCAAAATAAAACTTGAAAATAAAAAGAAAATAATGAGCAACAAGGTTCTACTGCCAAAGTTTGTACTTTGATTTGGGAGATGTAAATATCTAGTTGTATCACTGGTAGGAAACCGAACTCCTAACGAGGATAGTGTGTCACTCAAAAGAGAAAATACGAAAATAATTTTTTTCTTCTGTTTTTGCTCTCCCAGCACACTTCGCTTGTGAGACCAACTATAGATGTTTTCATATAGAACTGTTATCTCCTTTATCAAACTGGTGGCAAATAACATACTTTTTTTTTTTTTTGCAAACAGTAGTTGCTTAAAGGATAATTGCAAATGAATGAATAAATAAATGGATAAGTAAATAAACGTATCCATTATACTTGGGAAAAAAAAAAGGCCCGAGGGAGCCTGTTCGCCCTTCCGCAGTGTGAAGATGCGAAGCAGCACTATCTGTGAAGTCGAGAGCAAGCCCGCATCAGACACCGAATCTGCTGCTGCCTTGATCTTGCACTTCTGGTCTCCAAAATGGTGAGCAATAAACTTCTGTTGTTTATAAATTACTCAGTCTATGTTATTTTGTTACAGCAGTGTGAATGGACTAAGACAATTTTGAAAAGATGTAGGCTAATTTTTCTTATGGCATGTGGTATCTCTTGACAAAGTCTTCTGCAAAGTAGCTCTCAGGAAAAAAGGAAAATAGAAGAAAGCAAAGAGGCACCTAGAGAAAGTGAGCAAAACATCTGTATCATGTCATTCAATTGGTTAAGAAACCTTTCCATGTTGACTTTAATAGGAATGTGGGTGAAAGTACACTCGGCTAGTTATTTTCTTAGAACATGAGACAATCTTTAATATCTGATATCTAGCATAAGTTTAAAAACTTAAAAAGAAATCCTAATAAAGCACATACAAATCCATTTTCAAGGCAGAATGCATTTAAAGTGCTTCTTAGGAATGAGTATGTATGCCTGCCTGAAGAAACTGATCCAAGTGGACAGATAAGACCAAAGATTACTTATTTGATCCACGTCACAGAATGAAAAAAATAGTTGTAAGAACTTACTTCTCCATTTCCAAAAGACATGAAGATGATCAAAGTTTAGTGTTCCTAGGTCTAGTATGAAGAAACTTGGTGTGAAGTCTGTTCCCTGCATAGTTATGATATTGAGCACTAAATATCTGACAGCTCACAGAGCATCAGATGTTACACAGATCATAGAAATGACTGTGCTCTTAAGGGGCTCTCACAGTATGCTCTTCTCAAGATAAGACCAAAAAGCAAAAGGACTGATTCCTT